TGTGTGCCTATGTGCTTCCAGTTCGGGTGTCAAACTCAACTCTTGAACTGAAGTTAAAGCACAGAGGTAGCCATGATGGTTGGAGATTTCTGTGTATTTTTTCTATGCTTTGTAGAGGCTTGACCATTTATGATAACCTGTGCATTTAACGTATGCTTACAAGCAGAATAGATGCTTTTGCAGCTACATCATCATACTCTAAAGATAGATTTAATTACAAGGCCAGACATTATTTTCTGTAGGAAGACAGGCATATCAGAGCTCCTGGAGTTGTAGACAGAGTGATTAGATTTCTTTCTAAGTACGTCAAACAATGTGATAAAGGATTCTGTCCCTCCACATTCCGTTCAAAACATTTAAAGTACTTGCTAGGCTAAACATAACTGTTTCTACTCTTTCCAAATTCCCCCTAGAATCTTGGATGAAGTAATGCAAATTCACTTCTGTAGATACTATTATGTGTTTAATGCTCTCAATACCCAAGAAAATCTTGAATAGCACTAAAAATAACACTAAAATGGAGCAGTTCAATGGAGCACCAAGGTAGAGGTGAGCAGGGCAATCTCAGGCACGCATAAGTTGTAAAAGCCATGAGCTTCTTTATCTTCCACAAAGACATCTCCCTTAAATTTAAATAGCTGCTGTCATCGTCACTGACTACCTGACTATGTATTTATCTGCCCAGAAGCAGAGTGCATGGCCTTTGGCCCTGCTATTCATAGTGTTACTGTCTCTGCCTAACAATGCTGTGAACAGAGCTGGGCTTCTGTTAGCATCTTTTGTTTGATGGGAATCGCTGAAGCTTTGATGTTGTTTGTGAGAAAAATAATGATTAAAAAGAATAAGATCTTCACTCTCCCACTCTCTCTGCTCCCCACAGAGAAATCTAATCTGAGTTGGGAAAAATCTGTGACTGATCCTATCTTAGGTACACGCAAACCACAGAGTCCAGAAGAGAAATCTGTTAGCGTTGAAACTCCTAGCATCTCTTTACTGGAGAGTCACAGAGGTAATTTGTCTTAATGATCAAAATTCTGTTTCCTGTTACATGAACATATATGTCCAAATAGGTACATAATACTTTCTCTGTGTGGTGAACACAGCTGTCAGTGTAGCCATAGTGCTTTATTTTCAGTGGGATGTCTTAGATTTTCTGCTTTAGTTGCATGTGCTTCCCCTTTATAGAATATTCTACCAAAAAGAAGGGGATGATTACTTCATACTGAAGCTACATTAGTAGATTTGAAATGCTCTGTAGTTCCAAAAATTGTGTTTTTCTATAAATTATTATTCTAATAAGCTTGTTTCTCATCTCTACTGATGAACTCTTCTCTTGCTGTCATTTTTGAATGAAGAGCAAATGCAGTAAAGCATAACTAAAGCCCCTAAAATCAGAGCTTCAGAGTAAATGGATGGCTGTTCTGCTACTCCAGGCAAAAACTCCAGTCACATAAAAATACTCCGATCAGTGATCACTACAGTAACAAAAAAGTAAATTCAATAAAATTATAATGTCCCAAGTGTAATAAAAAGCAATGAACAAAAAAATTGGGAAGCTTTTATCTTCACAAACCTTTGATCCACAGTGTGAAGGAAACAGATTTGATTCCTAAGGTATTTTGAAATTGGAGGTAGCTTGATTCCCACATTGAGCAGCAGATGTAGGAGAGAGCAAGGGAGCAGAGCCATGGCTTACCTTGTGCCAAGAGCAGAGTCAGGCTTACAGAGCAAACACAAAAAGGTTTTGGATTTAGACACTTGGATATGGGAAATCTAGCTGTGTATAATTCCTCATTTTTTTTTTTATATCCCCAGCTATCATTATATATCTATATTTAGCTTCAAGCTCCACATTAGCTTATGATGTAGCATGTTTTGTATATCTTTAACCTTCTTTCTTCCAGGTCAGATGGGCATTCCAAGGGGCAGTCAAACAGGATTACTAATGGAAGGTGCACAGATCTTGAGGATTTGCTAGTCACCTGTAAACCTTCTCACGAAAAGGGGCCAAACTCAGAAAACAGTTCCAGCCAGGTAAGCAGAGGCACGTGATACACATCCCCCAATAAAGGAGACTTCATTATCTTTTACTTGGAAGAAGAACTCCACCTCAAAGGGGGTTTTCTTGAGCTACCTTAAGGAAAAGCAGCAAGCAGAGCAGATGCATAAGGAGGAAGTGGAGCCAAATCTCCCCAGAAGACTGATCAAGTCCCAAAGAATGTTTCAGAACAGAGAAAAAAAAATAAAGCTAGGAAGGCCGTAACTCTCTAAAATGCTCTGCAAAGTTTATATACTATTTTAAGTATGAAACATTCCTCGTGGGCACTCTGGCACGTAGCCTAACTCATAAGCTTCGACTGTGGAGAAGATATGGTTTGTTATAGTACTGTCAGTGGCACTGGGGTGGTGTCAGACCACTCCTGGAAGTTTGGGCTGTGAAGTTCCTTCCGCACTGCATACTTCAGACATCTGCAGCTGCCAAGAATAGTCCACTCTTAGGAACTACTGTGAGCAAAGAAAATTTCAGGGGGTTCTGCTGAACTAGTGTCTGACTTTAATGGGAGTTGCAAGCATTCACTGGTTGCTGGGACCACCTCTACTGCGTGGGTGTCAAATAAAACAGAGCACAGCATTAGGTCCTGCTGTAGCAACTGCGTTGGTATGGACGCACGCGTTCCCCACAGAGTTCCCTTCAGGGCTCGGGATGCTAGGATCTGCGCACACGGATTCAGGACTTCTAATCACTAGCATGGAAAAGATTACATGCGAAAACCTTGATTTTGTTCTCTATGGCTTAATGTTGTAATTCTGGTATCACGAGTGTCAAATGTTTATGTCAAACATACGGTTTTTATAAGCACTATGCTAGTGAGCTATATAAGTACCGCTAAGATTTTACTAATTTGTCAGCTGCCACTCTGCCTCTTTATGTTGCATTTGTAATGATGTAACCCATTCTATCCCCACATGCAGTCCCTACAACGTATTACAATGGCTCGAATTTTAAAGAATGTATTTGGAAAGAAAAAAAAAAAGAAATCTAGGACTTGGCCATAGTTGTAGTGTTCAGCCAGCCCTAAATGGAGGATTTACAATGCCTGAATACACTGCTGTGATATGTGTATTGAGGTTTGATTAAGCTGGATATGAAAATTAAAACTTGGCTTCATATTGAAGAGAGAATCTCCTGCAGTGTGATACGATGACATCAAGTTTTCTGTTTACCCCTAAGGCTGGTGTTGCAATGACTTCCAGGTTTGATGGTGTCTCTTTTCTAAGTTGTTGAGCAGCAGGCTAATAGCTGCACAGCATGATGCAAAGACAGCAGAAAGCAGGGAAATCAGATGTGAATATATTCCCCAGAGATCTCCTGCTAAGATGGAGCTAACTAACCGGAGCTTTAGTGCTCAGATGTAGTCTTCTCATGCAGAGGACGGTACGATTATCAGCTCTTCCTGCTTTATTGTACATTTTTGGATTGCAGATGCTATTACAAATCATGAATTCTGGTATAATATGCATTCTAGTGTAACATGAACTATTACATAGAAAGGAACATTATTTTTAAAGCGTTTTCATCCAAGGTCAGTTCCCCCCTGCCCCATATTGTCCAAAATGATCTTGCTATTTTAAAAAATACAGGTTTATTATCTTCTGTGCTTGCTTTGCCGTAATTGTTTGAAAGCCATAGATTTAGTTTATTTCATCATGACAAAGATTGTCCTAAGAAAGGGACAGGATCTACTGGCAAAGCAGTAGCCCATCTCGCTGTTTACACAAGCGCATGTTGTCCATGTCACACAACACGAGTTGCTTGCTGCTGGGCAGTCACTTCATTATTGCCACAGTGGCAGCCTCAGATGCTACAAGGTATAGAGGGCAGGGGAAGCACATCATCCTTCCTGCCTCGTTTGCTATTGGTGACACATCTGGTCTGTAAAATGAAAAGGAACTGCTA